ATATATATATATATATGTCTGTGTGTGTGTGTGTGTGTGTAAAGTATACACCACCAAATCATATACAATCGATATATCTCTTGGTCGAGCATAATTGGACCCTTGTCTAGATAGCTAGTGTAACATTTTGATTCGGATGAATCTTGATCTTGATATTCAATAGAGATTATTAAAATATATTTGTATCAATAATCTTAAATATCGAATATTTAAATCAATTTAAAATGGGATGATTATTGAAAAAAACCCCATTTTGAAATTGCATTGATATAGGTTCACTATTTTTCGTGAAATTCTAGATTAAACTGGACGTAAATCGACTATGGTGATTGTGTAATTGATTTATCAATCGACTAGTTTATTAAAATAGTAAAGTGTAGATTAGACCTAAAAACAATAAATCGACTATAAAGAACTATGGTTGATTTATTAAGCGGTTGTAGTTGATTACGTAACGCAGAAAAATTGGAATGTCGGATGGGAGAAGCTCTGTCGCACGATGCATTGGTCGGGGAATCTTGATCATGATATTCAGACGTACAGTGATGCCTCGACGGCGGTGGAGGTTTTTAATTAATGTCCAAACAATGGTGCCTTGATAATGGTGAATGTGTTTGAAGTGATGCCTCGACGGCGGTGGAGGTTTTTAATTAATGTCCAAACAATGGTGCCTTGATAATGGTGAATGTGTTTGATGTCCAGATGGTAGTGCCACAGTGGCAGCTGTCTTAGCCTAACACCCCAATAGCTACTCCATATAACATATGATGATGCTTGTTCCATTTTTTATTTATTTATATTTTTTTGGAAAAAAAATATATAAATACTTGTCGGATAATAAGGACAACATTATTAAACCCATAATTAAATGTTATTTGCTAATTAAAATAATGCATGGAAGTTTCTTTAACATTTACTAATATTAAACACCATTAAACCCCCAATAATCAATAATTATTATGAAGTGCTTAATTATGACCAAGAAACAATAATCTACAACAAACAATTACTAATTAATTACTAAAACTCCAAAAATATATACAAAACAACAAAGGTTGAAATAAAAATATAATGGTGAAACTATTGCTAGAAATCAACATAAGACAACGTTAGAACTTAGAATTACTGTTGTAAAAAACAACAAAATAACTTATTGATCATCATTTTGGTGTGCCCTGTATTTCTTGTTTCATTTTCTTGATAAAATCTTCACATTTCTTATTCAATTCATCAACGCCCTCGTCATCGTCGTCGTCTTCTTCTTCGTGTTCATCGTCGTCATCTTCAAACTCCGATTCTTGATTATTAATCCCACAACTCTCATAATCTTCTTTGTTGCCAATAATTATTTCCGTCTCGTTTTCTTCAACAACATTGATGATTCCTACATTCTTCGCCTTATTTTCTTGAAACTCGTCGAGCCGAATTTCGATCGTCTCGTGATCAAGACGATCGTCGATTCTAGTTGTCGTACCCTTCGGGCCCGATTGGTCGAGAGGCGTAACCTTGGTGACGAGGCCGGAAGTTTGGATGATGAGAACAAGAATCCCATTGCAGAGAAGGAAAATGCAGTTTCTTTCGGTTGTGTAGGTGAATATTTTTATTGGGACAAAGTAATTATTATAGTAATTAATAAGGATCATAGCCAATGAAGATTGAGAGATTAAGAAAGAAAATAGGGAGAGTGAGATTATAATTTGTGTTAGCTTCTTCACATAGTAGAATTTGCTGTTGTTGTTGTTGCTGTACCCATTGTAGTAGTAATCCATGAGAGAGAGAGAGAGAGAGAGAGAGAGAGAGAGAGAGAGAGAGATTTTGTGAGTTTGATAAGTTTTAGAATGAGTAGTATATATAAAGCATAATTTGGAGTGAAAAAAGGGGTTGTGGAATATGTGAGGAAATGGGGCTTAGGGAAAAGACTTTTTGATGTGTCTTGTGGACAAGAATTAATGAAGTATTTCATGTACTAGATTTTTATTTTATTTTTTCTTATTTAGTTTGTCTTGATTCAATTTATGTTCATACTGCACTCTTAAACATTTTTTTGTCATTTCGGTCGATTTTTTGTTACTACTAACAGAATCAAGTATGTGTTCGTCAATGTCTTAATCGACGGACTAATAATAAATTGACAGAAAGGATCAAAGATATTAAATCGTTGAAATGTGAGGGGCCAAAAGTGTTTTTTTATGAACATTGAGGACTAAATGTGAAATCGATGTAGAACTAAGGGACGGAAACTGCAATTTTTCCAATTTCAAATTCTTTAGATCCCAAATATATTTATGAATTTGGTTAATTAGTTTGAGAGATATATAGTCAATTCTTGAACCGACCCTTTCATGCAAGAGTAATTAATGTGTAGGACCTTTCAAAAATCTTATGATTATATATATATATATATATATTAGATGTCATCTTCTTGGCACTTTGTCGGTATCAAAATGATTTTTGGAATTGACAAAACCAACAATTAAATTAATTTAATGATCTAAAAAAATTATTTAATCAATTGATGGGAAATGGGAACACACTCTTTTTCCAACAAGAAATTAGCAAGTCAACGTTGACCTGAAATCAGCAAGAAAATACTTATTTGTTTCAAATTTTGAAAATTGCTAAAATATTTTATATACACATTACAAAGTATTTTATAAATAAAAAAAATACATAAAAAAATTGTGTACTATAATAGCATAACGGCCCCCTCGGATTTTTTTTTAATGCATTCTGCCCCTTCTGGGCATACTCCGAACACGCTCGACAAGTTGTGCGAGTTCTCCACGAACGAAATTGAAACGCTCTTTCGATAAAAATGATTCCGAGTATAAACTCTCACTAAGCGAATGAAATTCTCGAGCATTTCCATTTGTAACCTTTTGACCATCTATTCGCCACCTGCGCAGAAAATACTTTACCGGGATTTCGAAGTAGTTCTTTAGGACAAGAACTCGGAGCGAATGTCTGCATAATACACCAGAATGTTCGAATTCTTTACAAGAGCAATGTACCTGTTCATCGTCCGGAATCCAAATTACGAGACACTCCCTTTCCGTTTTCTTGTAGTGCCTCGCCAAATACGAGCCGTTTGCCATTTCCGTCATCGAATAATGCATCGAGAAAACAATTTCATTCTGCAAGGCGCTAAATGCGAACGGCGTAAGAATATTCCTTGCGTGTTCCTCTAAAGGCATGCACGTTTTTATCGGCAAATAAAAGACTTCTTCTTCTTTCCTTTTCTCACTCCTCGATTTTGCAGCGATAGCTATCTGCTCGATTTTAAATAAAACAAAGTTACTACATGAGGAATGAAAAAAGATTGAATTTTTACGTCAAGATTGAATTTTTACGTCAAGACGAGAGAAAAAAACCTGTTTGAAAAAGCACTGCAAGGATGATTGCAAGCTTACAACATTCTTCAAGAATTTCTCTACCGATTTCGAATATTCAGGATTCGTAGTACGAGCCAAGAAGAAGTTACGAACGTAGCAAAACGGCCAAGAAGTTCGATACGAGAAGAGAAGTGAAATGTGTTTATCCGAAGCAATTCCAAATTGAGCTACCAAATGATTCCACTTATGCTCGAAATCTTCCACATTTTCAAGATGACACAACGAATCGAATTCCGATTTGAATTCCGAATATTGCAGGCCGAGTTGGAGAGAGAACCAACTCGACATTCTTGAGAGTATTTGTCGTATGCATATAATTTGTTTTGTATCTGGCATTTCGATTAAGAGGGCATCTCTTAGACCCGAATCCATATCAGTAACAACAATCTCCGGCCGCCTTCCTCTCATAAATCCAACAAAAACCTGAATCACAGTAATTAAAATCACGGGTTCGAGTCAGATTCGAAAAATCTATATACAGTTATGCATTACGATGAAAAGGCTAGGGGATGTGATAAATATCGTTTCAATTTTAATAGTACCGTTTCGACTTTAAATGCGATTTTGGCCCTTTTTTCGTCCGAAGTTGTCAAAAGTCGAAGCACGAAATTTGTAGTTCTTTGAGTTGACTTTCCATTCCAACTTGAATCGTCTAGATTGGATGTCGGGTGAGTGAGTTATGCATTAATTAATGAATGAACATTTACTACAACTTTGATGCTTCGAGTTTTTCGTATAAACTCATTCATGCACAACTTTCTCACCCGATATCCAATCTAGTTGATTCAAGTCGAATAAGAAAGCCAACTCTAGCAGCTATAAATTGTGTGCTTTGACTTTTACCACATCCGGACTGAAAAAGGGTCAAAATCACATTTAAGTCGTAACGGTATCAGTAAAATTGAAACGACATTTAGCATTTCAGAAAGCCTAGCACCTGCACACCTGTAGGGCCCACGAAAATGACTTAGAAGACTCGTCTTGAAGCAGAGTGCACCCGAAGAAAATCGGTCGACCATGATTGTCGATACCAAACCACATCCCAAGAATCATACTATAGGTGACGGAACGGTACGAGGTGTCAATTGTAACAACATCACCAAAGAGTGAAAACGCTTCGATGGAATCTCCGTAAGTCCACGCAATATTCTCGACTTTGCCATTATCATCCGTGGTAAAATTATACACAAACCCATCATCCCTTTCTGCTTCCACTTTACACGCCTCGAGAAGTTCGAGCAAATCACTCTCGCGTTTCATAGTCACCATAGTGTCGTTTTCTTGAACAGTTTTCTTACACGACCTAACGAAATTCCGAACGTCTTTTTCTATAAAGGGTAACTGCCCCGGCTGAACACCCTTTTCCAATTCGAGCACCTTCAAAATCCGATTGACGGGGAATCCAGCTTTCGAAAGAAGAAGAATCCGTTCTTGATCAGCTTCTTCGATTTTTCTATAGGCGGGAAGCAAGCGGACTTGCTCATCTTCCAATAATTCGTGGTTGTGAACATTACTAAACTGAGATATATACCATTGAGTAACACCGTCAATAATTTCTTTCGTCAAGTAAAATTTCGCGTCGCATCCGCATCGCAACGACTTTCGATCTCTCGGGTGCTCCACATTGACTTTCTTCCTCGGCTGATTAAATCCGGACCGATAACAAACGAAGTCCCTTCTATAAACACCTAAATTCGGACTTTCGGTCGAACGGGCTTTCCTAATCGAAAACCCGTTCTTTCGAGCGAAATTGCTGTAGTATTCAAACGCTTCTTCGTCGGTCTTGAATACTTGCCCAACGTACGGAGTGAAGATTTCTTGCGATGGAAATGATAAACATCCATTCGTTACGGATTGCGATACCGGTGTGGCTTGATCGCGATCGGCCTCGTAGTTGACGAAGCACTTCCAATCACCACAAGGGCATTGTTGTCTTTTCACCCAAATGTTGGTCACTGCCATTGTTGTTTGAGGTCTTAATGAATACACAATTCAATGGTGCTGCAATAAATAGAAACACAAATACACGAATTCCCAAATGAATAAATAAATTCGATATAATGTGTTAAGATTTAGCAAAAATATATTGATTCAGTACATCGGTAGGAACCCTAAAAACACTAGATTCTATCAAATTAGGCTAAACATGACAGAAAAGATGCAAATAATTACCAGAAATTAAATGGAGTTTCGACGAACCCACTAAAAATTCATCACATTTTCTTCTCCTATCTTTCTGCCCGCAATCAATCAGCTTTCATTTTTCCAAGTTTCAATCTTTCTGCCGAATCTCTCTCTCTATCTCTCTCTCTAACTCAACTGTGGAAGTCAACGGCAATTGGACTACCAAAGGACACAAGAAGTAGCTGATTATTAATGGGTCTTCAATTGGGCCACTTTATTTGCACTTCAATTCAGATTAGAACCCTAATCCCAATCTCTCTATTAGTAATTCAAATACTTATTAAATTTAATTTTTTGATATATTTTCATTAATATTTCTTTTTATATATATATATAATACTGCTTGACAAAAGTATTAAATAATGAATGGGGATTTGAAATTACACTCGTCCATCAAAAAATATTTCAAACTTGTGTTAAACTTAAAAGCACTTTCAAGACTTCAAAAGTCTTTTAACATAATTAATATTAATAAATATAATTAATATTAATGTAGATATTTTTATTTATAAAAGTAGGAAAACGTAGGTCATATTTGTAATTTTTACAAATTAATTATTATTATTATAAAAAAAAAAAATCATCTCCTATTTTCCAACATTTTTCTCTAATAACTTTCAGCAAAATAGTTTTTTTTTTCTTTTCTGGGATTTGTATGATCTATTTGTCGGAATATTGATGTTGTTTTGGTAGTTTAAATTTCACAACTAATTACTTTAACATTGTAAAAAAAAATTAGTACAATTTAATCATAATATATTTAAATTAATAAATACCAAAATTGATTATTATTAAGTTCCAATCAACAACTACTCCCCATAACATGTCCACATTTTAACAAAATGCTCAACTTCATGAAATCCCAAAAAAAAAAAATCAATATTAAAAAACGAATAGTGATCGAAAATCGGAATAAGGGTTCACCGCAACCTTCTCGCCTCCCTCTCGGATTCGAGAAGGGTGAGAATATCGCCCTCTCTAACGGGACCCTTAACATTTCTCATAATAAACCGATTCTGGTCGTCCACAAATTTGACTCTCACTTGAGTCACTTGTCCCCTCGACCCCGTTCGCCCGATAACCTTAACCACAATAGCATGCTTTATCTGCGTATCCATTCTGCAAAACCAACGCGCTTTTCTACCGGATAAATAATCAAGAAAACAACTAATCGATCAACCAACCGGGAATCAATCAACTAATCACAGATTAAACAACATGTTTATATAATACAACCCCTCAAACAAATTCATCATCAAACATGAAATATAACAAGGTAAAAAAAATGGTGCACATTTTCAAGCAGTTCATTGGGGACTTTCGTCGAGCATAAAGTGGGCACTACTACAATGGCCATAAAATAGACATAAACTGTACGCATTAGATAAACATTACTTCTGAGAAAAGAAAAGAAAAAAAGGAATCTTTTGATACTAAACAAAGGGTACATATAAGTAATTACTGACACTAAAATGAATTTCCAGAAGCTATAAACAAAGATTAAGATAATTTATAGAATTAATCAAAACACAGAATATTCATGAATGCGTAAATTAAATGAAGAGAAAATCAGAATACTAACATTGAAGAATCGCCTGATCTCGAATGCGGAGAGAAGGGAACAGTGGCAAAAACCCTAGCAATTAGCAAAACCAAATTAATTTATTTTGTGTCCAATATATATTCAAATAATTAATAATTTTATTTAATAAATTTATTAAAATGGGCTTGGCTAGGTTTAGTTGAAATATTTTAGCCCATTAAAAGTAAAAAAAAAATGTATATTACACAAAAAAAAGCCCATTCAAAAGTGCCTCTTTCCCCTCTCTTCTCTCTCTCTCCTCTCTCCTTTCTCTCTCTACTCTCTTCTCTCTCATGGCGGAAAACAACAGCAAAGACCTCTTGAAGCTGGAGGCCGACGCCCCCTCCTCCTCCTCCTCATCTTTAGGTTTTCTTCAATCTCCTGCTCTTAGTTTGTTTTTATTTTGCTGATTTTACTTTTATAATTTGATTTTTAAATTAGTGCTACTAATTTTGCAGAATCAAAGCTCTTTGTTTGCAAAAAAGACAGCTCTTTTTCTGTGTCTGATGCACCGCCCCAAACGAAGCCCACCATGTTACCTCTTCCCAAGAGTCAATGTATCTCTCTCTCTCTCTCTCTCTCTCTCTCTCTCTCTCTCTCTCTCTCTCTCTCTCTCAATTTAGGTATACTTGTTGTTTCTGTCAGTTTAGCACTCATAAATGGTTAAGTTCGTATTTATATAAGTGTTATGTAGAGTTACTAGTTTTGAAGTATTTCACCATCAGCAACAACAAATTATCAACAACTGCAAGTATGTATATTCTTGAACAACTGTTAGAAATTTGTATATGTTCTTGCCGCAGTTGTATAGATGTAAGAACTTCTTTGTTCTACCGACTAAGAAAATCGGGCATCGAAGAAAACAAGGCTAATTAATAACCAAGAATGTTTAAATTGCATCATAAGATATCGAAGCTGTGTTTTTCTGCCTTGGTCACGTCACGTAATCAAAACGTATTTATGTGTCCGTGTGACCTTTGTATGTATAAGTTTGTTTAGGGGGAACTCGTGTTGAATCTACATAATCGAAGCACGTTATTCGTTTCGTTTACTCAAGAGATTCTTTGTTGCTTGCAGTTCTTGGAAAAGTAAAGGACTTTTTAGGCGTTATATCGGAATCGAACAAAAAGTTGTTGGAAGACGCAAAGGTATAAAATAAGTCAATTCCGAAATTGAGCTATTAGTTTCTTCAAATTAAAAAATCTAATTTACTCTTTTTCGAATTTGCAGGAAAATCCCGAAAAATATGATATGGAAGTGCTGAGCGGAAACGAATCCAAATTCATTGAAATGGTAAAAAAAAATAAAAAGATTACAATTTTCCACCATTTTTTAATATCTTACCGGGAATTATGTTTTTTTGCGTTCGATTACAGGATCTGATGCTGGGTATTGCCGATCTTCATACACCAGAGGCTGTAGCAGCTGCAGAGTCTGCCATGGCTGGTCGCCCACCGGTAATTAATTTATCAGATAGTAATGATAGTAGCAGTGACGATGATGATGAAGCGGGCCCACAATCCGTTAAGTCTGAATCGGAGGATGCTGTAAGAGATACTACTACTGCATCATGTAATGGATCGAGGAAAAAGAAACCGAAAAAGAAAACTAAGATTGTTGAGCTGTCGTAAAATCATCGTATGAAGTGTGAGATATATTCTTTTAAGAGTAGTTTGAAGAAGTCGTTGTCTGGTAATGCATAATCGAAACTGGAAATCAAAAGACTAAAGTCTGAGATGGGTTATTTGTGCTTCCCCTAATGCATTTTACCTATTCTTGGTGGTTTATTTAGCGTATACCTCGATTTACTACAACGGTTTATTTTATGCTACATCGAGAAAAGTGCACGAAGTGCATTATCACCATTCATTCACACACGAAGCTGGCAAATACACATATTCGAAGCTAACAAAGAAGAGAAAAGCGAACTAGAGCGGTTCGAATGACAATTTTTATTAAGCTCGACATGAAATTGCGCACATTCACAAAACGAAAGTTATACAAAGGTCACAAAACATATCATCAACAAACAATAACCACACAAGCACGTCTCGATTCTCATCAAACACAAGGAGTGAAGAAGAAAATATCGCCAAGTCGATCATTGCTCGGCGAATTCCCACCGTAAACAATCAACCCATCTTTCCCCTCTTTGCGCCCACCGCCAAACGCACACCACCCCCGCGGGCCCGGATGGTCACAATCCGGGCTCGTCACATCATCCCATTTTTTCCACACCAACGTTTCGGTATCCAACGCATAAACATCCCCCACAAACCTCCCCGCTCCCAGATGCCCTAAATCGCTCGGATCAATCTCTCCACCGCACACAAAAACAAACTTCCCAATCCCAACGCACGAAAACACACTCCTAGGCGTCGGCTTCTCGCCACTCGTCTCCACGGGGGCCCACACCCCCTCAATCGGATCGAAGTAGTGCACATCGTCAAGCTCCACACCTGAAAAGCCGTAAACGACCCAAATTTTCCCAACGACCGAAACCAACCCGGGCCCACCTCTAGGTTTACAAATCTCCCCCGGCAAAGGGAACTCAATCCAATCTCCATCAACAACATCGTAAGCCCATAAATCATTAAGCCTCCCTTGATTTCCGCACCCTCCGAAGACATAGACGCGCCTCTCGTCAGCAGTCATCGAGTGGTAGCTACGGTGGGCGGGGCCCATTTTGAGCGGGGCCCACGTGTCGGTAAGCGTGTCGAACGAGTAGAACTCATTGAGCTCCTTGTGGGTACCGTCGCGCCCGCCGAAGACGTAGATGGTAGCACCGATTGAAGCCATCGTGACCCCCACACGTGGTGGAGGGGGGTTGCCTTTGGCATCGGCGACGGACCACGTTTGGGTTTTGAGATCGAAAACGTAAAGGTGGTTATCTACGGGGACTCTTGGTGAGAACTCGCCGCCGAATGCGTACACTTTCTGGCCAACGACTGCGATTGCGTGCGAGCTCCTCGATCCGGGACCCACCCCTTTTTGCTCCATCTGCAAAATTGATCCGATTGTGTGAAGTTTATGCATTTTCACAGATCAAGGAAACATAGGAAAAAAAAAAACAACCATGAATCTTGAAACTTAGTATCATATAACAACCCCATAAAGAGAATTTACTGAGTACATCAAATTCTTCAACAAAACTAAACAAAGGAACAACCAATTCTTTACTGCTAAAGTAAACAAGATTCAGTAATTTTGAGCATTTAAAACTGTCAGCAGAAGAAACATGAAATCCAAAAGCATAAATTGTCTGCAAAGATCTTGAATTTCACCTATCATTTGCAATTCAACTGACCCACTCTAGTTAGTATCGAAATAAACAAAACCCAGAAAGCAACTCTTCTAAAAAATGCAGAATTTTGCATAAATATGAAAAAATTCAAAAAAAAAAAAAACACACACACACACACACACACACACAAACAGACCTTAACCCATTTGCCTTGCGCAAGAGCCATGATCAAGGAAAATGCTGATTCGATTCGAAGTGAGATTAGAAACAAAGCCCTTAATTAAACCTGTTTTTAATCAAATGAATTGGGCCTTCTTCCGAATGCAGATTTTATATAATAATTATTTGAATTCAAGAGGGCCCACTAGCTATTGGGGATAAACACCCACCTGATTGATTTCAAAAGTGTCATGGATCATGCATGCCCATTGAAACTGGTAAACTATTAAATTAATAATAATAATTATGTATTAAAAAAAATTGATTTAGTATAATCTTTTTTTTGGGATAAATTAAAGGTTAAATTACGATTAAAAAATATAATGTTTTGGTAATTACAACCATCTTGTCAATTATAAATCTTCTTACAGTACATCTATGTAGTGTCAAATTTAGTAAAATCTTTTAGATTACGTGGAATATTCTCTACTCGTTTTATTTTATTCGAGAGTCGAGCTTTACATTTAGAAATAAGATAAGATTTATCTTTTGGCTTGTTAATATCAAATTGTGATGCATCAGAAACTTCATTTTCGTACAAAACAAGTGCAAATTAAACTAGAGAACAATCCACGGACTTTAGAAGATTGTATTTTTAGAGCATAAGGGTGGACGGTGTAAGAATATTCATAGTTGACGGCTAATTATAATTACTCGGAATGAAATGCTTTTTTATTTTATTTTTTAATCTTATCGTTTTGTGCATGCTTTAATTTAAACTTTTTTTTTTTTTTGGGTGTGTTGCTTACGTGGAGATAGTGTGTTCTATTGGATTTGACAAAACAGTGAACACGCCCACAGTTTTGATGGTTTCATGCCATACTACTTAATAAAATTGATTAGGCTGTTTTGAACTTAAATAATAAATAGTGTATTATTATTAAGGTGGTGTTTGCAAAAGTTTTTTGAAAGTGATTATGAGCTTTTTGTTTTTTTTGTTCATAATTTGTTTTTAGGTGTTTGCAAAATCAACTTCTGTTTTTGCTTCTTTAAAAATAATCTGCTTTAAGCTATTTTTTTAAAAGAACCCTTAACCCTGTTTTTTCTATTTAAGTTCATTTTCCGAAATAATTGCAAACACCCCCAATTTTTAGAAATAATCATTTAAAACTGGTTTAACGCACGATCACTAACTTTTACTTTTAAATAATTATTTGCAAAAAGCCAAAAACCACCTAAATTAATATTCAAGAATGCAAATGCCAATCCGATTCATATTCCACTGTTCATAACCTACATTTTTTTTGGGCTATAGATAAGTATTAAGAACCAACATAATCTTTTCTTTTTCCTTTTTATTATCGGAAAAAGAGACGAATGATTTTTTTAAATTTTATTTGGGTAATTAGCCAGCTTCGTCAATATGAATCTTCTTACTTATTTATTCTTATGTGTCAAATTCAATATAACCTTTTAGATTTTGTGTATTGATCTCTAGTTTGTAATCGTTTTGTACAAAAATTCAATTTCTGATGCACCACAATTTGATGTTTACAAGCCAAGAGACACATCTTATTATCATCTTGTTTCAAAAAAAGTGGAGCTCGAATAGGGTAAAACGAAAAAATTGAAGAATATTTCATATAATCTAAAAGATTCCACTAGATTTGACACTATAAAGATGGATGTGTAAGAAAATTCACAGTTGGGGGATGATTGTAATTAACCAAGCATGAGTGATTTTTTTGTAATTTGACATTTCCTCGGGAGTGGCCGTATTTGAAAGATAGCTCAGCTAGTCCCATTAAATAATTTTTGTATAAGAGAATGTTTAAAGATGATTTTAAATATGGGGTTTTTGTGATAAAGTCCCCAACCAAGCATGTTTATTATTTTAGGTTTAAGGGCTAGATCTCTTTCACTCATGTATATCCCAATATTGCCCTCAACTATTTATACACAATTCTTAATTGTAACCCCAATTTAATCAATTTTGTCCACAAAAATCCAATTTTGACCACAAAAATTCAATTTTGACTTTTTTTTGGAGCATACTTTAATATGCTCCAATTTCATCCTTTAACTTAATTTAATCTCAATTTGACCCCAAATTTCACAAATTATTCAATTTTGACCCAAAACTTTTTTTTTTCACAAATATTTTTTTTCAATTTTTTTTTTTGCACCGGGCGGTCAACGCCGGAGACCGGCGTTGACTTTTTGGATTTTTTCGCCGGTTTCCTGCGTTGACTTTTTTTTTTTTTTTCTTTTCTTTTCTTCCGGATTTTTTCGCCGGTTTCCGGCGGTCTCCTGCGTTGATTTTTTTTCGTGTTTTTTTTTTGTTTTTTTTTTTTACGTCCGCCGCTAAACGTTGACCGTAATTGTACTGTCACTGACAGTAAATTAATGTAATTGTACTGCCGTTGACAATACATTTATGTAATTGTGCTGCCGTTGACAGTAAATTAATGTAATATATATATATATATATATATATATATATATATATATATATATATATATATATATATATATATATATTTGTTTTTTTGTTTTTGTTTTTTTTTGTTTGATTTGTTGACAGGTCAACGTAATTATATTACTGTCGTTGACAGTAAAATAACTGTAAACACAATAATATTACTGTCAACAACATCAATATTATTATTTTTTTTGGGTTTTTTGTTTTGTTTAAGTTATTCACGGAGTAACGTAATAATATTACTGTCTATTATTGTAATATTACTGTAAACACAATAATATTACTGTGGTTGACGTACGGTAATATTACTGTTGTTATGGTAATATTGCTGTCAACCACATCAATATTATTATTTTGTTTGGATTTTTTGTTTGTTTGTGTGATTCATGGAGTAACGGAATAATATTATTGTCTATTATTGTAATATTACTGTGGTTGCCGGTAATATAATGTTGTTATAGTAATATTACTGTCACTCACAGTAATATTAATTCTTTTGGTTTTTTATTATGTTTACATTTGTTGAACGGTCAATATAGTAATATTGCTCTATTACACAATAATAATGAGTTTTGTTGTGTTAATATTACTGTGCTAGAGATTAATATAGCAATATTACTGTGTTAAACAATAGTTTAGTTTAATTTTACTGTGTTTAACAGTAATATAGTTAATATTACTGTCAATCACAGCAATATTGCTGTTTAAACGAAAAAAAAGGTTACAGAAAGAAAGAAAATAGTAAAAAAAAAAAAAAATCGAAAAAATCAACGCCGGAAACCGGCGAAAAAATCCGTAAGGGAAAAAAAATTGAAAAGTCAACGCCGGAATCCGGCGGGTAAAAAAAAAGTTTTTGATTTTTTTTTTTTTTTGAAAAAAAAATGTTTTGGGTCAAACTTGAATAATTTGTGAAATTTGGGGTCAAATTGAGGTTAAATAAAGTTAATGATGAAATTTAAGCATATTAAAGTATGAGGGATTATTTTAGTCCTTTACAAAAATCTGGACCATGTGTGGACTTATTGGTAAAGAAGTTTTTTGTCTTGATCTATTTATAAATAAGTACCCATTTATGGATTTATTTGTAAAGTCCCCTTTAAATATTTCAAATCAAGTTTAATAAGTATGCTCTTTTCCTTCTTTCAAAAAAAAAAAAAAAAGTATGCTCTTTTCCCAATGAATCAGAATAATTCCCAAAAAACACTAAAACAAAAGAAAGAAAGAAAGTCACCGAATTATTGTGAAAATTATTGAAAAATATCCATGATTAATCAGAAAAAAAATGGCTTAATTTCACTTTACACCCTTAAAATTTACCATTTTGCTATTTTGCACCCAAAGAATAATTTATGCCACTTTACACCATTCAAACATGTTTAATTGTTCAAATTGCACCATATTTTATTTATCGGCCATAATTTACCGTCGTTGACATAATTTATGATAGCCAACACGAGTCATTTTTGCTCGAAAATACATTAGCAATTAGCACCCTGAAGAATAAAAGCAATTGAATAGACAAAACTGACCATGTTGACGATTAGAAAATAAGTAAACAACAGAAAAATGTCCATAAAATAGACTATGGTGCACTTTTGAATAATTAAACATGTTTTGAGAGTGCAAAGTGCCATAAGTTATTTTTAGGGTGCAAAATGAATAATTAAGCATGTTTTGAGGGTGCAAAGTGCTATAAATTATTTTTGAGGGTGCAAAATAAATAATTAAACATGTTTTGATGGTCTAAAGTGCAATAAGTTATTTTCAAGGGTTCAAAGTGCTAAAATAGTATATTTCGAGGGTGTAAAATGTAATTAAGCCGTAGAAAATTCATTTGAGAATTCTCGTTCTTGAGATATTTTATTACAATGGAAAAATAAGTGAGGAGAAGAAAACCACACGTCAAAGGAACTCAGACCAATCAGAGCGTACCAAACAACAAAAGGCACAAAAACGATTGAGTGAACTGAATCCCACATAGTAGTGGTTGTTATTCAAGAACGCCATTTTCAGCTCCCTTTTTTCATTTTTTTTGTCGTTAAATTAAATTAAATTAAATTAAATAAAATGTCAGTTCAATTTCGTAGAAAATATGGCCTGTCTGTTTCTTGGTTTCTCTCCTTAATACCCACTATTACCGCTTTGTATCTGCTGTCCGAAATCAGAATACATTGCATATTTATTCATAGAATCCCCAAATTCATACAAAAGGGTTCTTTCTGGGTTTGTTTACTTTCTTGATTTTCAGCTCAAAAGGTTAGTTTCTGTAACTTCTTTTTATATTAGGTTTTTTTTATTGCAGCTATGATTGTATTTGATTATTTAACTTATACAGAAGTTTGCATTGATAGTATAGCTGGTTATCATTTAATTGAAAAGGGTTTAGATTTTATGAAGAAGTGTAGTTATGTATGTATTGAATTTTGATTGGGTGTCGACTGTCGATTATTTTATCGATACCGAGTTGGGGAATTTGTGTTCGATTATTTTGATCTCGTTTGGTTCTTGATCAGGCTTTTGTAATGGTGGGAATACTAGCTTCGTTTGGCTGCTCTTGCCGTATCGGAGAATCCCTATACCATGGAAAAATCGGAGACGATCTTAGTTTTTCAAGCATTAATAATCATTCAAAATTCGACAAAGATTATTCGAGAAATAACCGGGTCAAATCTAGAAAACTCCGTAAATTTCGAGTGGGAATGCAGCAGACGGGTATAAACGGTCGAGCAGTTAAGATGGTCCCGTCACCAGATAATGTAAATGGATCTTCCAAGAATGGCAATGTTGTAATTAATGGAGGAAGAAGTTTGGTTAAGAGGGATCTTGCTAAAGAGCTTCCACCGATTGAAGGGGTGAAAGTTTTGCCTTCGGACGAAGGTTTCAGTTGGGCGAACGAAAATTACAATTCAATTCAAAGAAGTATAGATGTGTGGTCATTTGTTCTTACACTCCGTGTTCGTATTTTATTGGACGAGGCGAAATGGAGTTATGCTAGCGGCTTCTCCGAAGATAAGCAGGTGGGGTTTCGTCTTATCATTACAACAACTTAATTATCATGTTTGTGTGTGTGTAATAACATCGTTTTTTTTCAGGGAGAGAGAAGACGAAAAACTGCATCTTGGTTAAGGGAATCTGTTTTGCAACTGGGCCCCACTTTTATTAAACTTGGTCAGTTATCTTCGACGAGGTCCGATTTATTTCCTAAAGAATTTGTCGATGAGCTTGCTAAATTGCAGGTACTAAACGATGTTTTCTTGAAAAAAGATTTTTTTTTTCACATGTTGAATTTATATATATATATATATATATAAACGGGCTTATGTGATTTAGGATAGAGTACCCGCATTTTCGCCGAGCAAATCGAAGAGCTTTATCGAGAAGGAATTAGGTGCTCCTATAAATATATTGTTCAAGGAGTTCGAAGACCTACCAATTGCAGCTGCTAGTCTTGGTCAGGTGTTTGCTTTATCGTGTTTTTTGTAATAATTTTTTTTCGTGTCTTAATAATTATATAAAAATTGGGAAAAAATCGATCTGTTAATTTTGTTATGCTGATTGTGAATTTCGGGAATATTGTTAGGTACATCGGGCTATATTGCATAATGGAGAGAAAGTGGTGGTGAAAGTGCAAAGACCGGGATTAAAGAAACTTTTTGACATTGATCTAAGTGAGTGTTATATATATTTTCGGCGTTGAAATACATATATTTTTTACGTCTTATTTATTGTATTTATAACATTCTTGATATTCAGAAAATTTGAAGCTGATTGCTGAATACTTCCAACGGAGTGAAACTCTCGGCGGTCCCACAAGGGATTGGATCGGAATTTACGAAGAATGTGCCAAGTAAGCTCGATCAACAAAATAATATATATTATTTTTTTAATTAGGACTGACAATCATCTTTATCGTCTTTTAAGGATCTTGTACGAGGAAATTGATTATGTGAATGAAGGAAAGAATGCTGATAGATTTCGTCGGGATTTCCGGAATGTAAAGTGGGTTCGAGTACCTGTATGTTTTATTCTTCCTCCTCTAAATTTTCTAGCTTGCTTTTATTCGTCATTTAATAATTTAATAAATATTTACCGTCATTTAATATTTTCGATGAGTTTGTAGATGGTCTTCTGGGATTATACAGCAACGAAAGTGTTGACTTTGGAGTACGTTCCCGGTAATAACTCTTATTTCTCTTCGTTTTTTAATTAATATAAAAAAAATCCTAGTACCTTAACCCTTCGATCTTGTGGTGATTATATTTCGACTTTCCACTGTTTTATTCAGGAATTAAAATAAACCAGTTGGATATGATCGAAGCACGAGGCTACAGCCGATCAAATATTTCGGCACGTGCTATTGAAGCCTACTTAATTCAGGTGGCCTTCAATTATTTTTTAATAAGATTTAAAAATAATAAACACGTATTTATTTATTTATTTTAATAATTTTTTTGCTGCAATTTCAGATATTAAAAACGGGTTTCTTCCATGCGGATCCTCATCCAGGAAATCTTGCAATCGACGTCGACGAATCGCTTATATATTACGACTTTGGTATGATGGGAGATATTAAGAGCTTTACGAGGCAGAGGTTATTAGACGTTTTTTACGCCGTTTATGAGAAGGATGCCAAAAAGGTTATGTATAAAGCACAAACCACTGATATATTAACAAAAAAATGTATTCAGTTAAAATATGCTGATGTGTCGGCATTCGATTGGCTAATGTACGAGGTGTGGCCATGCAGGTTATGCAAGGTCTCATCGATCTTGGAGCGCTTCAGCCAACCGGGGATTTGTCAGCGGTGTGTTTTTTATTTTTAAAAATATCGTGTTACCTAAATATTCGAATGTATTTAATGATTTATGTTTTGTTTAAAATTTAGGTGAGGAGATCAGTACAGTTTTTCTTGGATAATTTGCTGAATCAAAGACCTGATCAGCAGCAAACTTTGTCGGCAATTGGTGAGGTACGAAGAAATTACTTGACTCGTAAATTATTGATTTTTCTTTTACCTTTTTTATTTTATTTTATTCTAATATAAGACTCGACCCATAAATTGTCGAAAATATTGTTTGCAGGATTTATTTGCAATAGCAACTGATCAGCCATTTCGTTTCCCTTCCACTTTTACGTTTGTGCTGAGGGCATTTTCGACACTTGAAGGTGATCTCTCTCTGTGTGTATCCGTGTGTGTTTTATATAATTTAAAAAATATATTATATATTATTAAATTTTCATGTGGTTTACGAAGGTTAGTTTCTTGCAGGCATTGGCTATACACTGGATCCAGATTTTTCCTTCCCAAAAATTGCTGCACCATATGCTCAGGTTCGATATATATATTTACTTGGGTTGCGTACTTCTAATATACATAAAAAAAATTCAAAAACAAAAATTAAATTAAAAAAAAAATGGGTCGTTTTTCTTCGTGCAGGAACTCTTAGACTTGAAGCAACAGCGGAGTGGGACCCAACTCGTTCAAGAAATAAGGAAACAAGCCAACGATGTACTACTCTATATCGGTCTTAATAGATTATCATAATAATAATAGATTATTATAATCATTAATAATAATTATAATCATAATAATAGATTATTCTATTATTGTTTCCAGGCGAGATCGTCGACAATCTCGATGCCGTCACGAATCCAGAAGATAGAAGATATTGTGAAACAGCTCGAAAATGGAGATCTTAAGCTCCGTGTTCGAGTTCTTGAGGTGATTTTATTTATATTATATCATCTAATTACGATAATATATATATTTGAAAATCTTTACTCCTTCGTATAAGGTTTCTGCACAAATATTAAGGAAGCTAATGAAATGTGCAAGAATTTTTCGGGGAAAACGTATGATAAGACTAAAATGCCCTTCCCACTATTTATATATCTACTAATCATCTATTGCTAATTAGGAGTGATAAGGGAAAATTTGAAAAAGATAATCAATATATGTCTACTCTTTCTTCCCACTCTTTTTATGTTATATTTGAATCGAACCCGACGAAAAGGAAAATGACGAAAACGACCTTGCATTTTTCAGTCAGAGAGAGCAGCAAGAAAGGCGACCATACTACAGATGGCAACAATATATACAGTTTTCGGTGGGACCCTCTTAAATATCGGGATGACCTTTAGCAACCAAGGCAGTGAAGTTATTGCAAACGGTGCTTTTGTAGCTGCAGGTGAGCATATTCCACACTCGTGAACGTCTCGTTTTCTCGTGACAAGCTCTCGTAATTCTTGTGCTTCTTAGTCTTACTGATTAAAAATTGTATTTCAAACAATGCAGGTGTTTTTCTCACGCTGTTTGTCAGATCCATGCAAAGGGTGCAAAAGCTTGATAAATTTGAGACAATGATATGATATTTCTAGTGTTTTTTCATCTTGTCCCATTTATTGTATAAGTGTGTAATAATATATCTTACATATGTAATAATAGTTAGATTCATAGGTATGCATGAAAGGGTGAAAAAAATATTCTTTCTGAAAAGAAGAACAAAGAAAGATAGTAACAATAGTAATACATAAATGTAAAGATGATTTAGTTCTGTTCAACATTTTGCTTTATTTAATTTAAACAAAGCCCCTCTTCATATTCATAAATACTCGAACACCCTCGAATAAAATCATGGATTCGCCTAACTTTCGCTTAATCGATAGACAAGTTCATCAACAACCCATAATTTATTTTCTCAGATTACTCGGACCTAACTTTTCAATCACATTATCGTGTTTAATTTTCCCGAGTAATTCAAACAACAATTCCGAGGTCGATTCATCTGGCGGGAGCTTTCTTTCTTGCATTTTATCAAGAAACTTCACCGCATCATCAAAACTGTCGTAATTGCCCCTCGCCAAAAACCCTCGAACAATATTATTGTACGTAACCTCGTCGGGCAACAAACCCGTACCTTCCATTTCCTCGAGAAGATCAATAGCTTCGTCCATTAGACCATGTTGACAACATCCTTTAATTAGGATATTATAGCTTACCACATCGGGCTCCAATTTCTTACAAGAAAGACCTCTAAATATAGCTCGAATCACACCAAGTTTTTCGAGCTCGTTCAATCTACAAAACCCGTCCATTATCGTATTGTAGTAACTAGTACGGAGATTCTCGCCTTTCTTCTCCAATTCCTCCAACAACAATAGTGCTCGTTCAACTTCCCCGTTCTTACACAGTCCCCTCAAAACAACCGAGTAAGTATACGAGTTCGGTATTCGCCACACGGCTTGCAACTTATCGAAAAGCTCCATCGCAGTACTTAATCTACCGTCGTTAAACAACTCTGCTAATAAAAAGTTATACGTAGCTATATTCGGCTCAACTCCTTTACGACGCATCTCGTGGAAGATACCCATCGCCTCTTCCATCTGCATATTCTTAATATACGCGTTGATCAAGATATTGAAACTGTAAACATTAAAACCAATATTATTATTATCTCCATAAACCATCAAATCGAAAACTCGCCTAGCTTCATCCAAACGCCCTTGCGTGCAATACCCACCCATGAGGGCACAATAGGAAACTAAATCTGGAGCCAGGTTTTTCTCCTTCATGATATTTATCACACGCTCGGCTTCGTCCATTAGTCCTTCCTTACAATAAGCATTGATCAATGTACCGAACGTCACAATATTCGGATATATCTTCCGATTTATTATCATGTCGTTCAATAATTCGTTCACCTCTTTCCAACGGCTCGAACTACAGAACCCACAAATCAACGCAGTGTACGTGACAACGTTAGGTTTTATACCTTTCCCTAACAATTCGACAAAAAATTCCATGGCAGAGTCTATTTTCCGACTCTTGCATAAGCTGTCGATAATCATGGTGTATATTCTGACGTCGGCCTTATATCGATGTTTTTCCATCACTCGCAAATATTCGATCGCCATTGATGTATTGCCCGACCCGCAGAGCCCATAGATCATTATACCGTAAAAGAAAGCATTGACCTCGCACGCCTCTTCTCTTACGATCTTGTCGAACAATTCCTGCGCATCGGAAATCCTGTTTTCGATAATCAAACCGTTTAACAAGGTGCCTAAAGTGAATGCATCGGGAGCAAAACCGCGCTTGAAGAACGAACCCATAATCGAAAACCCTTGATTAACTTGGTTCGAGAGGCAAAAACTGTTGGCGGCGATGTTGAGAGTGTATACATCGACTGAGATCCCCAAATTGCAGATGCGTTTGAAAATGGCAATGGCGGTGGAATATTCTTTGAGGTTGTTGACTGTGCGCGAAAGCAGCCGATTGAAAGTTATTACAGAAGGAAGAGGATTCGTTGTGCTCAGAGTTGCGTACAGATTAAGAGCTTCGAATCGGTCGTTAACATTTTGCAGATCAGAATTGAATTTCTCGAGAAAATTGCGATCTGCGACGGATATTTTACCGAAATCACGAATCTGAGAGAGAAAAAAACCTAATCGGCGACGAAACTTACAATTTGGGGAAGAAGAAGAAGAAGAAGTGAGAAAACGCCCAAATCGAATTCCGTTTAACTTCATTTCTTTGCTGCAGATTTTAGAGAGAGGTATGAATAAAAATCAAATCTTTGTTCTTCATTCATTTAGCGGCGGATTTGGTGAACTAAACAGTAAACACCACCTGGATTTAGCAATTCTGGATTATATATTTGCAGATTATAAATTTATTATTGCAAAAATTACAGTCGCTCCGTTAAGATCAAATTATGAAAAATCCATCATATTTAGATTACCCTCTTAATTATGAATTTTCTTATACGTCCATCCTTGCGGTGTCAAATTTAGTAAAATCTTCTAAATTATATGGAATATTCTTTATTTTGTTGCCACTTTATCCCATTCGAGCTCCACATTTTGAAGCATGATGATCAAAAGATGTGTTTCTTGGCTTGTATATATACCAGATTCTGATGCATCAGAAATTGCATTTTTATACAAAACGAGTACAAGTAAGAGAATATTCCACAAAATCTAGAATATTATATTAAATTTGACATTATAAGGGTAGAAATGTAAGAAGATTCAAGTTGAGGGGAAGATGTAATATCCAAACAAAATGAGTTTTATTGGACCATACCTCAGGAGGGGTTTTGTAATTTACCCTAATTATTAAAAATAGTTTTGGGCTTCTTGTAACAAATATTTCAGTGTTGGTCCAATGAAGCTCGAGCCCAATTCTCTCTTCTTTTTCTTTTGTTCTTTCTTTTTTGACAAGGCTGATAATAGTAATATTTAGGGTAAATTACAACCACCCCTAAGGTATGGTTAAATTACAAAACTTCCCTCTCGTTTGGATAATTACAACCACCCCCCTCAACTCCTCAAATTTAGTGGAATCTTCGAGATTATATGGAATATTATTACTTTTGTACCCGTTTTATCCATTTGAACTCTACATTTTGAAACAAGATGATCATAATATGTGTTTTTTGGCTTGTATATATCAGATTGTGGTGCATCAGAAACTGTATTTTTACACAAAACGAGTACAAACTAGAGCACATTCCACGAAATCTAGATGATTATGTTGAATTTGATACCATAAGGGTGGAGGTGTAAGAAAAAAAAATATAGTTGAGGGATAGATGTAATTACCCAAACAAGAGGGTTTTTTTTTGTAAATTGACCATACCTCAAGGGCGTTTGTAATTTACCCTAATATTTATCATGTCTATTTTCTTAAAGAAATTGGATAAATCACTCATATTTGTTAAGGACAAAAGTCAAAATTGGATTGCAAAAATTGTTGACTTGTTTTTACTTTTAACACCCAAAGTCCAAAAAGGCTGTCATATATAGTGAAGTGAACCTAATAAATTATGTTAAACAAATTAGGTTTTCTCCAATTTATTTTTCTTTTTCTATTAAATCCTAATTGACTTATTATGAAGTCCAAAAAGGCTCCCCACAAGAGTTTTGATTTTCACATTTTATTAATGTTTTTCATTTCACATTGTATGTATAGTATGAGTGGAAGGCTCCTCACAAGAGGTTTGATTTTCACATTTTATTAATGTTTTTCATTTCACATTATATATATAGTATGAGTGGAATTACACTGACTATATTTCTCACTAAGGCCTCGTTTGGTTGGTAATACAATTTATAATAATATAATATTTACGGATTAAATCATAGGACAAGTTAATGGAATACCAAACATCAAACAAAATTCAATTATTTAGTTCATAATAATTAATTTTCACAACCAACGGACATATGAAAGATTAAACATTTAGATACAATGATTATTGAATAGGGTAAATTACAACCACCCTCTGAGGTGTCGTCAATTTACGAAAAAAATCCATCTTATTTGGATAATTACATCTACATCATCAATTAATGATTTTTTCTTACACCTCCATCCTTATGGTGTCAAATTCAACATCAACATCTAGATTTCGGTGGAATGTGCTCTAGTTTGTACTCGTTTTGGGTAAAAATACAGTTTTCTAATGCACCACAATCTGATATTTATAAACCAAAAGACACATATTATGATCATCTTGCTTCAAAATGTGGAGTTCGAAAATGATAAAACGTGTACAAAAGTGAATATTCCATATAATCTCGAAGATTTCACTAAATATGACACCGCAAGGGTGAACGTGTAAAAATATTTATAGTTGAGGGGTGGTTATAATTGGAGGACAATTTTCGTAATTTGACCATACCTCATTTGAGTGGTTGTAATTTACCCTTGTTGAATATATCTTTTATTTTGAAGTTAAATATAAAATATTTTTTTAAGAACAAAATTTGGTAGGTAAGTGGCACTGATAAAACTTGAAAATATATTCAAAAGTAATCGATCTAATCTCATCTCGTGACTTTGTCTGCCACATCATGTTCTGGGTTAATCAAATATTAGTTAAAAGACTTTTATGCCATTGTTTATGGTCAAATTTTAAATAAAACGGTCAAGATGTTTTTATTTGTTTTTTTAATTTTATTTGGTATACTTTTGCATATTCAATTTCGACATCTATTCTAATTTAGTAACTATTTCATATTTTTATCCCACAAAGGTTTTATCTATTTACGCCCAGTGAAGGTTACACCAGGTGATTTTTTACCGTTGATCTACATATACCAATGTGAATGTGTGCAGTGTGTGTTTGTGTGTATATGATTGGTAAAAATCTACCCGATGTATTTCACCCGGTGTAGGATCTCAAAAGCCAATATTGTATGCATACTTAATGAATGATTATTTATATAATTTTATAATACAAAACTATACAATATTGTTTACCAAGTGTAACATCTCATATATCGTGCACAACCAACATATACACACAATTTAATGAAAATAAATGTACACGAAAAATCAATAAAATTTACAATTTTTATCCATCAATAATAGATTAAAATAAATAAATAAAAGATTTTAAGAGTCGAGTTCGTCATAAAATTTGATACCATAAGAACTATCCATTCCCTAAACAATATAAATATACATTAAGGGTAAATGTCACTTACTCCCCTCTGATTTGAACTTTGTGCACGTGAACGCCTTCTACTTTCAATATAATACGATTATTCACCAAAGTGAGAAATATAATTTTTTTTATATATTTTTTTTTTAATTTGAAAATGGGTTTAATAATATTTATGAGTCAAAAAAGCCGGTGAACATTAAAACTCCATTATCAAAAAATACACACACTACTACACACTAAATACACACACACTGACACACAAAACAGGCAGCCAGCTGCCTACCCCTCTTGGCTCTCCCTATATATATAGAACAACCAACTCTGCTGGATTTCCACACTCCCATTTCCTTGATCCGCTCCGAATCTTTTCGTGAATTCTCCCCCATTTTTTCAGGTAACTATTTTATCCTTTTTGCATGTTTCGATTCGTTTGCCGTATCTCGATTTCCTTCTCTCTCTCCGATCAAATTTAATTTTCTGTAGAAAAATGTAATTTCGGTGCTGATTCATATTCACATGAATGAACTTCGTGCTTAATTTTGCTTTTCCGCCGTTTCTGGATTTCTTAGATCTAATTTTCTGTGACCGGTATTGCGATTTTGGAGGTGTTTGTTTACTGGGTCGTTTTTGTATGCCTGAGATCTATACGTGTGTGTGTGTGTGTGTGTGTGTGTTTGTTTAATGTGTTTTTTTTTCAGAATTTTGAAAATTAATTTTGAATTGATTATATCACCTGAGAGCGTTTTTGTTTATGTGAATCAATATGATTGTTAGAATTTTGAGAGATTTTGAGGATCATGCAGAAAGCGTTGTTTCCTATGTAGTATGTGCAATCCTCATTTTTTTTTTTGATTCGTTATATATTTTGTCACCAATTTTGATGGAATTCGTTTAACAGGCATTAATCTATTCGAAAGTTGATCATGGCTCCAGCTGCAGCAAACGATTCGATTAAGCCTAGAGGTAACTGGTTTGCTTTTTTCTGTGTGTGTGTGTGTGTAAAGTTCAATGAATCTAGCTGCAATACTGAGTAATGACTTTTTGACTGGATCTTGGTGTTTTGGATTAGTTATGTTTCATATTTAATTTAGTCTTGAGTTATGTATGTTCCATACCGAGTTTAAGACTTACACCAGTGGTTTATGTAATTTTTATATATCAGAAGTGTTTTTGTGTATGATACTTTGTCTTCATCTAGTGAAACGATCATGATTTGTTTTTCAATAAGAGAATAAACCCTTTCAAGAAAATCAGTTAACATTATCTACGAAATGAAATTAACTGCCACAAGATTTATTGTTTAACAGTTACTCGTGTTCTTGTCAAACTCTAGACGGTTAACATCTTTTCTATATAAAGAAACAGAATATCGTTGGTCATGCTTCTGCTCAAGTTAAAGTTTGTGTAATAGATCAATTTCCCTATATGGATCACTTGGTCTTATTTCTTGCAATTTTCTTAGGACTATCTTGAACAACTTAAAAGCTCGTAGTTGCTTTGTTTACATTTGATAATATAATCTTGATAAGGTTTATTTCATTTCCCCTATTAGATGTTTGCATTGTCGGAGTCGCCCGAACACCAATGGGTGCATTTCTTGGTTCTCTTTCATCAGTACCCGCAACCAAGCTCGGATCCGTTGCTATCGAGGGTAAGATCACAAACTTACCCCTTCCATTTTTTTTAACTGGAAAGGTCCTTCGTTTAGCACTTTGCATCTATGGTTTTGTAATTTGTTCTTTCTACTTATGGTAAACTTTCAGGTGCTCTGAAGAGAGCAAACATTGATCCATCACTTGTAGAAGAAGTTTTCTTCGGAAATGTTCTGAGTGCAAACTTAGGACAGGCTCCGGCCAGACAGGCCGCATTAGGCGCAGGGATCCCTAATACAGTTGTCTGCACAACTGTCAACAAAGTCTGTGCCTCTGGAATGAAAGGTTTGTCTTCATATCATTGAAAAATCGTAACTCCCTTAAGGCCTCGTTTGGTTGGTTCGTAAGATTAGCCATGATTAATTAAAATAATTGAACCTCATTCAATGTTTGGTTAGTCCAATAACTAATAGGAATTATTTTCTTCTTCTTTATACGTGATGCTGAATATTATGTTTTTCTTTTGTTAATACAGCAACTATGTTAGCGGCACAAAGTATCCAGTTGGGAATTAATGATGTCGTAGTGGCTGGAGGCATGGAAAGCATGTCTAATGTCCCAAAGTACCTTGCAGAGGCAAGGTTGGTACTCTAATTCAAAATGGACATGATTTAATTTTTTTATTTTTATTTTATTTTATATATGTTTTTTTATGTTTTGTATGTGCTTTAATTGCCTCATCCCTTTATTTGAGTGAAATGCGTTTCTTTATCCTTATTCTTACTACGAGAGTTACTAGCTGGATGTAGACAAAATGGTGATGCATGTATATTTAATAAATGGATTCTTATTTCTTCGACATTATTTAATACATTGTATATTTACCCGAGTTTTTTTTTTGGCATTTTTACAGAAAAGGATCTCGACTTGGACACGATTCTCTTGTTGATGGAATGTTGAAAGATGGACTGTGGGATGTATACAGTGACGTCGGTATGGGAGTTTGTGCTGAATTATGCGCTGAACACCACAGTATTACAAGAGAGCAGCAGGTTTGATTACACTCATTGTTAGTTTTCAATTTTTTTTTTCAATATTTTATAAATTAGTTTGTTCCAATTTTAATGCGCGACTTTCATAAAAAAATTATACAGGATGATTATGCAGTCCAAAGCTTTGAACGTGGAATTGCTGCTCAAGATGCTAGTGCCTTTGCATGGGAGATTGTTCCGGTAATATAACAAGACTTTTGCTTCTCTGAAATATCTCGTTTCTTCTATATATTTTCGTTATTGTTAAAAAAAATGAAAAATTGTTTGGTCGTAATAATAAGTATAATATTGTGCGTGCAGGTTGAAGTCTCTGGGGGCAGAGGAAGACCATCCACCATTGTTGATAAGGATGAAGGTCTAGGAAAGGTGAATTTACCAATCATTCCTCAGCACACACACACACACACACACACACACACACACATATATATATATATATATATATATATATATATATATAAATAAATAACTTATAAAAATGAACCATTTTATAGCTGTTATCCAAACTTTTTTCTACCCCTAAGTTGACTTTGCCAGCTTCTATGATTTGATAGCCCTTTAATTAACAAGTTATTAAAAATATAAAATGACAATATATATATATATATATATATATATATATATATATATATATATATATATATATATATATATATATATATATATATATATATATAATGTTATAACTCATTGATACTAAATATTTTATATTTTTATGGTCAGTTTGATGCTGCAAAGTTGAGGAAGCTACGACCAAGTTTCAAGGAAACTGGCGGTACTGTGACAGCTGGAAATGCGTCTAGCATAAGGTACTTGATATTTTCATTTTTTCATTTCCACACTGATTTGATTATTTTGATATACTTTTTCGATTTGATTTTCTGTTGAGTTGTGGTTTTTGAACTGAAAAATCTGAAAGATTTCATTCATGCTCCTCTAGATCGTCTATAAATATTTTTGAAACGAGCTTATTAATTATCTTACATATTCAAGGAACTTCACATTTACTCTGAATTTTATTTATTTTTTATTCTTTTTTTTTTGGTCCCATTGTTATAAGGAATGACTTAATCTTTTTACTTTATTTATTTCAGTGATGGTGCTGCAGCTCTTGTTTTAGTAAGTGGAGAGAAAGCTCTCAAGCTTGGCCTTCAAGTCATTGCAAAGATCTCTGGATATGCCGATGCCGCTCAAGTATGTATAAACAAACAATTATATTTATTTACTTATTTAAGTTTTAAATGTCGATTCTTAATCGAGCTAATTTGTTTGCAGGCACCAGAACTATTTACAACTGCTCCAGCTCTCGCAATTCCCAAAGCAATTTCAAATGCTGGTCTAGAAGCATCTAAAATAGACTACTACGAAATCAACGAAGCCTTTGCGGTATATTTGTTATTATGCTTTTCCATTTAAATAAGGAAAATAAATCAGCAATTAAAATACTTGGCATCTCATTCCAAAAACATATGATCCCATGCAGGTCGTAGCTCTCGCAAATCAGAAGCTATTGACTCTTAGTCCGGTTAGTCCTCGATTTCAAGCTTTCGAGATGTTTGAGTTCGAATGAGAACTATATATATTATCGAATTTTATTGCAATTTTTCTAAATATTAATATATTTTTGCAGGAAAAAGTTAATGTACATGGTGGAGCTGTATCTCTGGGACATCCCCTTGGTTGCAGCGGAGCTCGTATATTGGTCACACTTTTAGGGGTAAATTTTTTTTTTCTTCGCTCGAGCGCTAATTTAATCCATCTGATTTAATAAGCATAATAAATCAAGAAATTGGAATTTTATAAATTAAATGTCGATTATATCATCTCAGGTATTGAAGCAGAAGAATGGGAAATATGGAGTCGGTGGTGTTTGCAACGGTGGAGGAGGTGCTTCGGCCCTTGTTCTTGAGCTTCTGTAATAATTTCATTCAACTTATTTTTGGTAAGTGTAATTTTAGTAAACAAGGAAGTTTTTTTTTTTTTTTTCGTAATTTGTCCGATGTTAAAGGTCTAGTACAAGACTACTAACCGAGGATCTCTATTGCAGATTTGTTTTCAGGCAACGTAACCTCGTACTAAATTGAATGCTGTAGCAGAATTTGAAGAGATGGGATACAGCAGAGGACACTAGACTTTGTTTTGTACCAAGTTTCAGTTTAGATGAACTTTGTTCTTTGGATTTGTTTTTCGGTTTCATTTCGGTATTTTTAAGCCAATAATAAATTGTGAAGGTGCTTAGATTTGTAGATGAGAATGTATTTCCTAAAAACACAGATTTGCAGAGTGTATTTTCTCAATAAAATTTTCTTTTTTAATCAATATCTAGTCCGATGGGTCGGGTGACCCGGCCCGGATGAGAAAACGGATCAGACCCACATTTTTATTCGATGTCAACTTCATTAGATGTAGTATAGATTTGACCTTATGTTAGGGTTGCATCAAACTCGCATTCCATTGACAAAAACAACAAAAAGATCGATATATATTAATACGTGGCAAAACAAAATAATATTCAAAACAACTTAGAATCTATCTCCAGAGAAAAACCAAGAAATAACAATTAAGGATAGCAAATACGATAAGAAAATCGGCACCTTTGACTTCCCTTTTGAGCATAAGCTATACATGCTCTCACATCGAGTAATCCAACAAATAGATTTTACGATGCTAAGTTATGAATGAATGAATAACGAGGAAAAAGAAAAAATTTAGACTCGAGAAGTTCCAAGCTTTCGGTCAAAAAGACGTTGAAGAAGATAAACCTGAAGAGAACTAACTCCAACAAGTGCTAATGATTCAAAAATTGCCTTGTATATTGCTCTCTGGCTCATCGCTTCATTAACTGCACCCCATTGCAAAACAAACATAACATACTTGAATCAAGAAAGTAGAAGAAAAAAAATTAAAAAAAAATGTTTATATATACACATATATTCATCCTTATTAGCAAATATTATAGTAATAATTTTACACTGAGAATTATATTACATCCGCTGATGAATAATATTTAAAATAAAATGCGAAGAGCGTAGAATAAGTTTATTATTTGCTTACCAAGTGCTTGGCGGTCCGTTTGTGCCTCTAACCAGTGTTGTTCAAATTGGATATTGTAAAGAGCTTCTTCTAATTTGGAAATTTGTTCCAGCATGGGGTTGAAATGTTCTGCATACAAAGATAAAAATCTCACATACAGTTAGATAATCGGAATATAAAATCTGCTGAAAATATTACACACACTAAATAAGTAGAATCCTAACAAAAGATCCATACCATCTTTTGCATGTTGATCAAAGTGCATAAAATGGCCAACGTGTATATCAAAATCAATGGTTTCATGAAAAGGGGACTTGTTTGTGAAGCAAAACCGATAAACGCCTCTCATTTGAGCCATAAACTCGTATTTGTCACTTGTCTTGTCATGGAACTCATGGATCTTCTTACCATCTGGTCCTTTTATCTGATATATGATTACAACATAATTATAATTGAAAATAAGGTACTAAAATAAGGCACATTTGCAATATCGATTGAAGCTCTAGCAAGATAAAACCTAGAGGATGAGCCAAATATTATCATAACATTTATAAATATATGGTACAATATTGATGACAAATACTAAGCACGATTTATCCATGCCACTTCTGCAAGATTATTATTGCACGAGTATGTATATACATAATATTATGATAAAATATAAACCATGTAAAAGATATTTCTTCATCATCATCACAGAAGCATGTACTTTGCAGTTATATCTACATATTCTACAGACATAAGAAGTGTTGTCTTCTACAAGCGAAAAAAATATTACATAGTTTCATGTTTCGTCAGTTCTCTGAGTTCTCTGATTTCAGAGGCTCTAAGTATATTTAGAAAGATCTCTGTTACGTTTTGTTGCGATATACTGAACATATTGGTGTTACTGAATTTACAAATTTACTTGGTTGGTTTATAAATGAAATTCTACTTCTATATATTATATTCCACCTCCCAAACTTACGATATGATTGGTGTAATTGTACGGTTAAGAGTAGTTCTATAGAGCATTTATATTCTAGTTACAATCTAGAAGGTAAGTATAATTGAAAATTCATAGGGAATCTTACAATGAGGCCATGTTTTTCATATCTTTATGGAGAACTCGAACAAAAGTATTACGTCTTTCATGAATTTTGCACATCCAATGCAAGCATAATCGGCAGAGATATTGATCAAACAAACAAGTTAACAACTCATATTGAACAAATTACACACATTTTGAAATCAAACAAGATCAAGAAATCCAAATGCATACAAACCAGCTAATAAAAAAAATAAAAAAAATTGTTACCAGGAGATCGACACCGTCATCGGCGTAATGCCATGAAACATCGGCTTTGATGACAACAAAAGAAAGGCGAACGGTGTCGGCCTCGTACTGAACATTGTGTGACAAACACTCCTCTTTGTCTATCACAAATCTGATCCCGAACCCTCCTCGAAATTCCAACATTAACCATATTATCATCATTAAAAACCCTTTCCTCAATAACATTCTTGAACACCCAATTCCCATCTGCACCCTTCATTAAAAAAAATTTTAAAAAATAAAAAAAAAAATCAAATATGCATGCATTAAATGTGAATGGAACAAAGATATACCAAAAGTTTCATGAAACTTACTGTCTGGTTAATCGAACGGAATTTTGTTGCTGTTGTTGGGTTTTCGCCTGAGGTTAATTACTTCTCTAACTGATTCGATTTGGAATTTTAGACACGTTTCTTCTAAATTATTATCAAATTCCTTTTACACACGTTTCTGATTTTATTAAAATTGTTTTTTAAGTCCAATTTTTTAAAATGCAATGTTTAAGTTTTTAACGAAATAAAATTTTGACTTTAGAAAAACAATTGATTTTTTTCTTTCGAAAAATGCTAATTTCGATCTGTCGTCCAATTTTCACCCGTACGAGTTAAGATTTAAGAATCCATCAATTTAAGGGCTCATACTCTCAACTTTACAATAGTTGAATAACATTAGAAAATCGAACAAAGAAATGCCATTGGTTTGTTTCAAAATATAATAAATTTCATTATTTTTTGCTTCTTTTCTTTCTCAAGCTAAACATTTTCGTTACGAGTTCTTTCTGTGTTTGAAAAAAAAAATGTCCGTTTGGCATACTAGCAGTGGCGGAGCCAACATAGTGTCGGGGGGCATGATCCCCCTCAACATTTCTCAAATCCGTGTTATTTTATATAGAAGTATAAAAAAATAGCGTATAATAATATTAACGGCCCCCTCTAGAATTTGTTTAATGCATCCGGCCCTCCCGTACTTAAAATCCTGGAAGATTCAAGAACACCACCATTCTTATGGTGAAAACGAAACAAATCTAACGTCAACAAAAATAGTACACTTGTAGTAAACACAGTCGAAACTATGGAATCAAAAGACGATATATATATATATATATATATATATATATATGTATCAACTCAGTTGCTGCTCAGAACCACTTCCATCCAGTAGCCCCTGAGAGGCCAGATGAGCCATATATTGCTACAACATCATAAACAAGATTTAACAAATATCAGTCGAATAGAATTATTTGAAAAAACGAAATGCATTTATATATCCAATTACACGAGTAACAGTTTCCGCAGTTAATCAATCTTTACCGTATGCGCAATCTCAATACTTCCCGTAAGAATCACCAAGTTAACTAAAAAAAACACGAACTAAAATGGACATAATGAAAATACTACGAAAACTAATTATCTCGTTTGGTTAATGAGTAATAAATATACTAGGTCGAATAATTTAACAGAAAAGAAGCTAACAACGTTTTTCTACTAAAGGCAGAGCAGTTTATGAGGAGAGATATGTTTCGATTTCAAGAATGCACCAAAAAGCACAAGGCATATGAACTAATATAGGAACATAATTTTATAAAATATTATTAACTTACTCCGTGATAAGCATATGGTGATTTTCCTTGGCGTTCGAAATGTTTAGCCAAAATGCTCCATTCGATTGGTCCCCACTCCTCTAGTTCAAAGCAGTTCCCAAGTGCAGCTTTATATAACTACAAATTCATATTTAAAACCTCAATTAGCCAAACTCCATACTCAAACAAAACATAGCTTTAAAGTTTCTGGGTCAAGATTATCAGAGTAAATAAACTAAGGATTAAGGAAAACGGAAAGCTGCAGTAATTTCGGTTTAGTGAGGTGCTACTCTGCTTAATAAAATCATTAAATTTCATCAAACACTGTTCATTAATTATATTAAACAGGGCAATATGGCAATGTAAAACCCCATAAAATGTTTGTCTTTGTTCGATAATTCAAATCATACCTTTGCTTGATCAGTGAGAAGCTCAGTGCCAGCAGGATAAGATGCGTAGAATTGGTCAGCTCTCGAGTATCCGGCTCTCGTCCTGCATCAACAATTTACCCAACGACATAAAATTTGACTCTATATGTATAACAAGTGCAATTAAACTATAAAGGAACAAGAAGATAATGTAACAGCACTTTCTGTGCTTAATAATAAATCCAACAAAGTTCTATTATGAACGAGTAAAAAATTATGCACAACAAACACAAATCATATTTTAACGAAACCAATTCTATGGAACGAACACAGCACCAAAAGGCTTTGACGAATAAAAAAAAAAATTATATGGGATTCTAAAGAGCTACCATTATCATCAGTTCCTGAGTTCAAATTGACCCGTATAAAATCACCTCCCAATTACCAGTAATCAAACATTACACTGTCGAATTAACTTTAGTTTAATAAGCGTAATCCCGATACACTTCTTTAAAAGTAGAAATAGAGCAGAATATTTATATTTAAGAACCAATATTTCAGGACATCGATTTCTAGTCCAAT